TAACAAGTGTTAAAACGGCAATTTATTATAAAATCATTTAAAAACCAATTTTTTTAATGTGAAAAATTAGTTTGTTCTTATAATTTCTCGATAAAATGTTAAAAAAATTTATTTACTTTACATTTTGTAAAAAAATAACATATCAAAAATAAACATGTAGATATAAAAAATAAACAAAAAAATAAAGTAATTTAAAAAATATTCAATAAATTAAGTAATTTTAATAAATATATATACGTACAATGTATAATAAAGTGTTAAAACGGTGGTGTATTTATATTAGAAACATCTAAGAACTATATGTTTAACTAGATGTTTCTAATATAAATACACCACCGTTTTAACACTTCATTATACATTTGCACGTTCTTAAATATTTTTAAAATCATTTCATTTTTTTGTATTATTTTTATATCTACATGTTTACTTTCTGTATTATATTATATTATTTTTTTACAGAATGTGAAGTGAATGAATTTAATTAACATAAAGTTCATAGATGTTTCTAATATAAATGTTCTAACAAAAATTGGCATTGACAAAATATAATTTTAAATTAATTTTTATCCCCCCCCTCCGGCCCTGTCAATTTTTATCCTCGCCCCCGGCCAAAAGGAACAAAAACACATAAGAATTTTATTTTGAAACCCGAAGAAATAATAAAAATGATTCCATCTATCGTCTCCTCTCTTTCGCACCCATTCAATTCAGTATAATGGCATGCGAAAGAGAAGGCGATGTTATTTGCTTCGTGTATACATTAAGATAGCTGCCGCCGCTCCTCTCGGCGTCTCCACCGTTACCGTCGCAGTAGTAACGGTGGAGACGCAAGAAGCAAAAGTGGCGAGTGTTATGTGAACTGTCCCAGATGTCGGGGACATATAAAACGGTTATGTGTTTGTGTTTGATGTTTTATTATTAGGATTATATTATACTATATATATATACTAGATGACCCGACAGACGTTGTCCTGTACCCACATCTATGTTTTTTTCAATATCCAATACTAATATTTATACCGTTCAGTTAAAAATAATCATTCTTGTTTTTTGAATTACTATTAACACTTATATATGAGAGATATTAAATGTAGAACTACTTCAAATAAAATGATTCTCAATTCCCACAGTTAATACTTTAATTATCCCTTTAACAAATATTAAAATATGTTCAATAAAATTGTATATCAAAAATTAAACACTGCAATTTATATAACAAATTTATTTCCAATAGCTCAATTTATTTTAATGCCAAAGGTTATACAATTTTTTAGTCATACCTGTAGATTTGGATGTATAAATTGAATAATTTTTTGTTTTTTCACGACTAAAACATTGATTTTACAAATGTATCGATGAAAAACGCAAAAAAAACAAATTTTCAGTAACCAGTGACCTGAAAAGTAATTTCTTTTTTGAAAAACATTACTAAACATTTTTCTCTTCTAATTAGTTTTTTTATCGATATCCGACGTTATTTTGAAAGAGATACAATTGCACAAATTTTATTGGCTCATCGTGTGCATATTTATCCAACTTAGGTTATAGGAATTTTTGAAAAGTTAATTTAAAATATAAATATATATTTTTTATAAAACTCTAAAAATTTTGACATAAAATGGCCAAAAATAATCAAAACACTAAAATGACAAATGTATGAAAAATTCGAGAAAAAAAGATTTATGATTTTTGAAAACAAATATTGCCAGTCAAAAATTATAATTCAAAAACACGTACATATATAGATATATCCAACATTTATATCCAAATTAGATGAAATGCTATATTCAAAACTACAATTTATAGTCTTAAATCTAATTAAAAATCAATGTTTATAAATTTAAATAATGTTGACATGAAAAAAAGTGAAATGTCATTTGTCAGTATTTATGAAAATAATTAGATGAATATATTTATAACTTATATTTATTTGAATTGCTTACCAAATTAGTTCGGATACTAAAATTAATTTAAATGCAAATATAAAAAATCTGATATGTATATAAAAAATTATATATTTAGATAATGGTACTGCGTTGATTTAGACTAAACTCATTGATTAAAAAAGTAATTCACTATTTGACATAAATAAAATTAAAATAAACAAAAAAACTATAATGCGTTGGAATTAATTCTCAAGGTGTAAAAAAATGTGTAATGAAAATATATTATTATTAATATATCATATATATTATAAGAACTTCTGCAAAGCGGCAAAATATTTTTAATAGCAAAACAACGTTTGTCGGGTCAGCTAGTATAATATATATATATATATATATATATATGAAGTTTGTGTCACGATGTTTGTCCGCAATAGGCTCCTAAACTACTGAACTGATTTTAATATTTTTAGCTCACCGTGTGCATTTATATGCAACTTAGATTCTAGGCTATATTAAAAATTTCAGTTCACACTTTAGTTTTTAAATTTCAGATAATTCAATTAATTGTCAAATAATTCTCAAAACACGATTATTTTTTCCAAGGAAACAAACCATGTATCACCAAAAATTATTGTATTTCTAACTCCAATATTTTAGTGTTGAAACTAGGAGCTTTTTGGGCATACAAAATGTTACTGTCAACTTTCAAAAAGTTTTAAACAATCATGAATTTCATAAAACAATTTATAGTAAAAATATTACATTACTCAGTCTTTTCATTCAGCGTACTTTAATTCAATCAATCAATTAACATATTCAAAATTTATTAATTTCATTTCGTCATTCGACGTGTGGCCTATGGTAATTATTTACACAAGAGAATAATGTACGGTCGCTGGTCCTATGAAAATAACTACAACTACAACAATGACAACATTCAATAGCAATCAATATTTTATCGTCTGATTATTAAAACAGGAATTATAATGAGCTGCAATGGCTGCAGTCTCATGAATTATGAATTAGTTGGAGTTTCCGATGTGTTTAAATCACAGGGAAGGATTTTAAAGAAACTATATTTAAATAATTTGATAACAAATTCATCAAAACTTTTTCATAATTCAATAAAATTCACATCGAAAATATTTCTCAAATATTTTTTGACTATTGACCTCAAATATTTTAGTAAGTTTACTAGATAGGAACTTTTTGGGCATACAAAATATTACTGTAATCTTCAAAAAGTTAAAAACTAATCAACTTTATATTGATTTAAAAAAAAACTATGCACAATTGATTTATAATGAAAAAAAATAACTTTTCTGAAATTAATTTAGATCAAAAGGGGACTCTACTGACTAGCATAATCAAATTTTTCCGAAGAAACAAACCGAAAATTTATTGTATCACTAAATATGATAGTTTAGAGCCTGAAATAATATCTATTATTATTGATTACGACTTGCTTGTGCATAAATAAATACATGAATAAATAAATAAACCAAATAATGCAGGCTTACAATATTTTAGTGTTAAAACTAGGAACTTTTTGGGCATACAAAACAATACTGTAATCTCCCAAAATATTTTGAACAATAAATCACAAACAAACGATAGGATTGTATTCAATAAAAACTGTTCAACACAATATTGATTGCAAAAAAGTATGTTCAATGTTCAATCAATAAGGAACTCTACTGACAACCAAACTGAATCCAATGTCGGTAAAAAGGACTCTACTGGCGAGAAACTAATATTTTTTGGGACAAAGCCATCATTAAATCATATTATAGTATTTGACATATATAAAAAACAACTGCACTGTTTCTTAGAGTGAAAAGAGTACTCTACTGAAAACTGAAATGTATCTAATCCATAAAAAAGACTCTACTGATGTGTAACCAAAATTTTTTGGAGAAAGTACAATCAACAAATCATATTACAGTAATCGACATTTATAAAAAACAACTTTACTGATTCTTAGAGTAAAAAAGCACTTGCTTTGTATTAAACAAAAACTCTACTAACAACTGAGCTGAATCTAATCTTAGAAAAAAGGACTCTACCGACGAGCAACCAACATTTTTTGGAAAAAAAACCTTCAATAAATTATATTATAGTAACTGACGTGTATAGAAAAGAACTCTACTGACATACAGACTGATTCTTGGGAGTAGCAAAAATTTTTCTCCTTTGCATTAAAAAAAAAACTCTAATGGCAAGCAAACTTTATTTTCTTATTTATTTAAAATAAATATTTATTTATTGTTTATTCATTATGTTTTTCCATTGTGTATATATTTATTGCAAATATTTATTGAAATTCATAAAAAAATACACTTTCTCTTTATTTAAAATCATTTTGAATCGTTTGACACAGAAAATAAAGTACTGAAACTCAAAATTAGAGTAATTCTGGGGTTTACAATTTAAATTTATATTAATAATTGTAGATGTATTTTGAAAGCGATGAAACAATATTTTTATTTTTTTCCAGGTCCCATGCCTTCGGGCAAGTACCCGTCGGAGGCTCCACCGGATCCGCCCGATGCTCCACCGGATCGAAAAATAAAAACAGCACGAACAAAAAATTTGTCACTAAACTCATATTCAGAAAATTGTTGCCAAGAAATAAAATTAAGAACAGACCTGGCACCATGTTTGACAAAAAATGTGAAAAATTTGACAAAAAACGACATAAACGTTTCACATTTAAAATTAGTTAAAAAATTAAGAGACCTGTTTTTATTGCTTTGGAAAATTTATGTAAAAGTTTTTTTAGTGGTTTATGCACTATGTTACATAGTTACGTATTTAAATTTACCAAATTTACCAAATTTTGTAAATATAGCTTTAAGTATAAGTATAATATCATATATAGTTACAAAAATTTCAAATTTACCAAATTCTCTTAAACCAAAATTATGTACGTGGTTAAAAAAATTAAAAAACTCAACAATTTTTAATTTAAATAAATTTTTATGTCGATTACCAAATTTACCAAAAACTTCCCTAAAACAAAAAACACTGCCAAATTTCTTTCCCAAAAAATTGTACCTCAAATTTTTTCAAAAATCCAATTTTTTCTATTACTTTTATATAATTTTATTATCAATGACAAGAGTGACGGCTACTGAAACAGAACATGACGGTATGACGTCACATGGTGACATGACGCACATAATGACGTCATATGGAATGACGTCACAGTTGATGAATATGAGTTCGAGTGTCGATAATAATATGGTTGTGATCAGGAAAATTTTGAAGGAGACGCCACTGATCGATGGGTGAGTAAACATTTAGGGCTGGTAAAAAATATTTTTTGAAATTGACAATTTCTTGAAATTCTGCTTTAAAATTTCAATGAATTTATGCAAAATTTTTATTTTTTTACTATGAATCCACACCAGTTTTCTTTTTGTTTTACACTTAAAATATAAAATGTTACATATTCTCATCATTTGAAATCATTTTGAATCTATTGACATAAAAATCTTTATGAACTTTATAAACTTAAAAACAATTTAATGCAACTCCATTTTCATTCATCAGATCAAGTATCTAAAATATCATGCACCTAACTTAAACAGATCCTGATACAAAAACCATTTTTTCTGGACCTGCCTTTGCTAAAAATCATTATTCTCTCCACATCAACACTACTACTAACTAACTATTTCTACATTCCCAAAATTAGTCATCACCTTTGACGAAAAGTCAAATAAGAACATTCATTCGATCTGGTTGTTCCTCCACCGTAACTTAAATACAAAGTAAATTCACGTCGGTTGTATTTAAATTTAGTTCGGTACGAGTAAATTAGTTAATTTATGACTTTGGAATTGGAAAGTTTCGAAAGTTCGGCTCTGTAATCAGGGCTACATACTCACTTGTAATTAGAAACATTGATTTAGTTTAGAGATAATTGAAAAATTTAGTTTGGTAAACAACCGGTCGATGTCACTCCTCCACCGTAACATAAATATAAAGAAAATTTGTGACGATGTAAATATATATATATATATATATATATTGCGTATGTATTTTCATGTTTTCATTTATCATAAATAAAACATGCGGTATGTTTTCTTTCTCTCCACTTCGAGCAAGATGCAGTTTTGAATTCTGAATTTTCAATTTTCAATTCTCCATTTGCCATTTTCTATTCTCTATTTCCTATTTTCTATTCCGCCAATTCATATTTATATTTTTATATTTATATTCCTGTGCGGAACCGCTTGTCATTTTTGGGTATACACTTAATAGACAGAGAGCTGGTAGACACATAACAGGATAAAGAATATATTTGTGAGTAAGTGACATTTTGTCTATATTATTTTGATATGCTGATTTACAAAATGATCTCTTTTGCCAGTAAATTTCAATTTTGATCATTTAAGTATATAAATATTATCTAGAACTAAACCTAGTGGTAAATTTACGTGTTAAGGTTAGTGGCACCTCTATGGAGTGTGAAAACAATTAAAATTTGAATATAAAAGTGGTATTTGTAAACTTTCTATACCTTTTTCATCTATACCAAAAATATACTCGTGCAATTATAATTCTAATACAAAAGTTCTTTATCACAAATCAAATATTCCACAAAGACGTTTTGCAGAGTCTGCTTTCATTATACTAGATAAAAACAGCATTAATAAACAAAATGATACTAGTTTTCTTTGCAAAAATGATCAATATGAACTTAAAGATATAAAAATCAAATAAGATTGATAATAACAAAAAAAACTCTTCTTTCTCCTCATTCTCATGCAATCATAATCCTAAAACAAGAGTTTTTTTTATCACGAATTGAACATTCCACAAAGACGTTTTGCAGAGTCTGCTTTCATTATACTTGATTAAAAAAGTTTTAAGTTTCGAACGCTTCGCAAATGAAAACAAATCGAATGTTTTTTAAGCACACAAATCAATTTTTTCTAAGGTATGCAAAAATGTTCAGAAACCTCTGAAACGTAAAGATCTGAAAAAAAAAATATTTTCGATCTTTTTGCGATTACTATAACTACGGAAAATTTATAAAAAAAATGATACTAGGTTTCCCTGCAACATTGTATAAGCGTTATTGTCAATCTTGTTTGATAAATTTATAAAATAAAAAAAATTGAAGTACATAGCACAAATTTAACATGATCCTCGCCAATTGTTATTAAAAAAAATAAACAAGATTGATATTAAATCAAAAAACTATCCTTTCCCTTCCATTTATTATGCAAATAACTCCTTTTCCATTTGCCAAACTATTATTTTCGTGCAAAATTTATATCTCATCAAGCGACTAACGAACTAAGTTTTATGTTCTAAAAGAAATGTAGAAAAAAAAACAAAAAATTACCGGCACAAGAAATCGTAAGAATTAATTTAAAATTCTTTTCCGAGATGACTAACCGTTGCAGATTTTGTAATAAAGATAGGCAAGTAGAAGGACAAAAACTTACTTAATTATCTTACGAGGGAAAAGATACATTTGTTTTATGAACTGTGGAGGAAAAGATATTATACTCTCGTTATTTATAGTTGAAAAAAGATTTTTGGTAAGCTATTCTGTTCATTAATAAAATTATTTTTTTCTATCAGTTTTCAGAATCTCTCCACCGTAATCGTTCCACCTGACTATCTGGAAATTAAATTTCCAGTTAGAAACGTGTGTTTCCATGAAAACCCAACGTTCAAAGGATATGAGACAATTAAAAGTTTCCTAAAAAAAAAAGACGAAATCGCACAGAAACTTTCCGATAAAAGAATTATTTTTGCCCAAAAAGTTTTGTAAAAGCGCTACCGTAAACGTGCCACTTCAGAGTAATAATCGAGTCATTTGTACTAATAGTAGTATAGAAATTTTTGTTTTATTGTAATTTAACTAATTGTAATAAAATTGAAATACATTTTCAATTAAAATATCAAAGATAATAATAAAAATAAACTCAATTAATTATCTAATAATAATATTTTAAAGCATTTGTTTAAAGCACAAGAATAAATAGTCATAGGCTTATACGATGGAGGAATCACTATATACGGTCAAGTTACAATCACTATTTACGGAGAGTAGGTCTACGGTAGAGAATAAATATATATATATATATATATATATATATATATATATATATTTCCTCCACCGTACTGTACGCTTTGTGCACTTTAGTATAAATCGAATGGAGAGGTTGAGTGAGATAAAACAGGATATTGGAATTGTAAATCCGTCGGATTTACAACGAGTCTAGATTTCTATCTATAATAGTTAGCTGTAAAAAATCCCTAACACTTTTTGTCCTCGCATATGGAGGAATTTAGAAGCACCTTTATGGGATGCCATATACTCTAATACTTGGATAAGGAATTTGGTGGAGGCGATATTTTTTTAACTAGGTGTTATCAATTGCTACCAGTGTGTGTGGATATAATTTTTTTCAAATAAAATAATATAGTTCTATATGTTATAGTGAAATTAGAGAAAACTTTAAAATTAGAGAATTAGCTAGAAAAAATATACAATTATAATTTTAGATTGAAAAAAAATTAATTAAATCAAAACTGCGTTGAGGTTGACATTTGGTTTGTGTTGAGTTTAGTTTGTAAAATACTTTCAAATGTTTTAGTAAAATCAGAAAGCAAGCTTGTCTGTTGCAATATTATCTATCACCATAAACCATAAAAAATTAGAAAAAAATATTGATATATATATATATATATATATATATATATAATTTTTGAATTAAAAAAATCAGTTAAATCAAAACTACGTTGAGGTTGACATTCGGTTTGTGTTGAGTTTAGTTTGTAAAATACTTTCAAATGTTCAAATGTTATATAGATAAATTACCAGATTGTAGTACAAACGGTGCGTCCTGTGGAGCTCTCTGAAATTGTCGCATACATACAATCTTCAACTGATAGTCCCTGACACATATAAATAAAATCTGCTTTAGTTCAAAATATTGCTAGTAAACCTGATAATTTTAGTATTTGATCTTATAATAAACACTATGAAAAATAATATATCTGAACTACAAAGTCATAGTACAAACGGTGCGTCCTGTAGAGCTCTTTGAAATTGTCGCATCCATACTTTCTCCACTTACTAGTCTCTAACACATATAGATAAAATCTGTTGTAGTTTAAAATATTGTTAGCAAATCTACCAATTTTAGTGTTCAATCTCATAGTAAACATTTTGAAGAACAATATATTCAAATTACAGGGTTGTAGTACAAACGGTGCGTCCTGTACAGCTCTTTGAAATTATTGCATACAAATTTTCTACCAGTGCTAGTCTTTAACACATATATATATATATAAAATCTTTTTAATTCAAAATGTTGTTAAAAACATATCAATTTTAATATTTCATCCCATAACAGAAATTTTTAAAAATAATATGTCCAAATTACAAGGTTGTAGTACAAAGGTGCGTCCTGCTGAGCTCTTTGAAAATATGCATTAATTTCCTTGAAATTTGCTATTTGAATCCTTTTTTTCCTTCGGAAGTTAACAAATAACAAATAATAAATATTTATCTTTTACCATAAATCATAAAAAATTAGAAAAATAATCATTATATATAATTTTAGAATAAAAAAAGTCAGTTTAATCAAGGTTGACATTCGGTTTGTGTTGATTTTAGTTTGCAAAATACTTTTCTATGTTTTAGTTAAATTAGAGGGCAATATTGCATGTTGCAATATTTATCTACCACCATAAACCATAAAAAATTAGGAAAAATATTTATTTTATCCGATTTTAGAATAAATAAAATCAATTTAATCAAAACTGCGTTGAGCCTGACATTCGGTTTGTAACGGATTTAATTTGTAAAATATTTTTATTTGGTTTGGTAAAATTAGAAGGTAAGTTTGTCTGTTGCAATATTTATCTATCACCATAAACCATTAAAATTAGAAAAAAAAAATTACATTCAATTTTTGAATTTGAATTATTCGTTATAATTGTTATTCACATGAATCCCTCCACCAAAAACCCAAATTTAATATTATCCACATCTAATTTATAATTGTGCATTTAATTAATAGCAATAATGAATCGCACAAATCTAAATTGTAATAAACTCGATTTCATATTCTGCTGTTGCGAATTTAATTCCATTTCACTGTTTTCCATTTGGAACTAGAACAACGGTGGAGGAATGATATAACATAACATAAACTATTAATATCGTACAATAAAACATTGTTATGACATTTCAGTTTCATGCAATTCAAAATATCTCTGTATCAAATGACCCGAGCACGAATTTAAAACGTATCGA